ATCGTGTAAAAACAACTCATTTTATCAATATACCGTGAATTTTATCTCGTATGAAATTTATCCGAATGAAATCTATGTTACAGGTTTTCTCAATCAAATTTAGTTTTCAGAGGCAAACACACATACTTCTCATTATCCAAAAGAATTGATTTTGTTGTTGAAATAATCGTACTGGAAAGTAATTTGTAGATATTACAAAATTCAATTTTAAATAAATTAATTTTAGATGTAAAAGTTTATATCTTCGCATGGCAATTCTGAAAAAGAAATAAACAAACGCTTACGATAACACATATAATCAAGTATTCACGTGTAACTTTTAAATTAGCTGTCTGATTTTTGTTTCCTCAAATTGGAATTATTAACTGATTCTTTTAGTATTGAAGTTTGCTAAAGCGTATTAAATAATTTAGTTATGTAATCAGGAATATTAAGTATTTGTACACTTTACGTAGAAAAATGAAATATTCGCTAAAGCTGAATTCAGCGTAAATACTGATATAGTATATTAAATCAGACAATATTGTCGAATCGGAAACGTCAGAAGTACAAATTAGATCTTACAATCATACAATTTCGTTCTGAATGAGCTTCGTATCCAGCTGCTTGTTCGAAACCAAGGAAAATGTAGCAAGTAAACAAACAAATTTCCCCAGTAAAATTCAGCAATTAGCTGCTGCAAAGAGTATTATCTGATTCATTCCTATCACACACACGCACATCTAACGAGTAGAGTTTATTCTATGTAATCCTTTGTGATGTGTGTATTGAATTCCGTACTGAAACATGTATGAGTTATTTGACAAATAGTAGTGTGAAACAAATACTTGATAAACCCTAGAACATCTGCATTTCCAGTTAACTATGTTTATATTGATTAGCTGACTCTTAAGGAATGTGGTGTGAAATGAAACTTTAAGTACAAAGAATCTGGTGTAATGTCTTGTCATTATTATTTTACGTATTGCAATTTTGAATGGTCTGAAACTGAGCTAAATGATAATTTAAATTCAGTAGTTAAATAAATGCCGATATATATCCAATTTATGATATTTACCAACAAGATTGATACACTCAGTTTCTTTTTGGATACAAATATGTTTTAATATATAAACAACAATAGAATTTACAATAATAGTTATTACAAACAATGATTTATATACAAAAGTTTTACAAACTTATAAGCAATATTAAATCTTCTTTCTAGTCTGGAATTTCCTTGATGTCGTATCGAACGTTCACGATGAGCGATTTAATTTCGAGTTAATGTAGGTAAAATTCACTTAATAGGGAGCTAGCTAGTTCTGTGAAATTCACTGATCACACGTCGATTTTTCCTACCGGTGACGTTAGATAATGTTTTCGTAAAAGTACTAATGTCCGATGTGAATCCACTGAAGTTAAATGATTTGTAATGTTTCGAAATTTATAAACGTTCCTAGTCAAATATCTGAAGTTCCCGATTAATAAGCGTTAATCACAATTATAGCTTTCGAAGTTTATAGCACACCAACTATAGCAAACCAATAATAGATACTATTTTTTGGCGCGTCGCGTTGGTTATATTT